GTTCGTCTTCTGCTGGTTCATTTTGTAGATGTTCTCCTCCACAGTGTTACATATCTGGAAATGTCGTCAGTAATTGGAAAACAGAAGAAACGTACGTAACTTACAATGAATCTATGTACAAGTGACTTAAGACGTTGGCCAATCCGGTGGACTAGATTGATAGCCTGAGCTTCTACTGCCGGAGTGAGCAAAGGCTCCACCAAAATAACGTGTTCTCTATTAAGTTCAGGCCATTGGCACCATGTTGTGTGGGCAGTAACATGACTTGGATGTTCTCCTTAAATTCCAAGATGGAAGAACCCATTTGTCTGTGAAAAACACAAAACGAGCACATGAGTAAGAGTAAAACAGATTATCGATATTACCTGAGAGGCTTTAGTCGAACCCAGCTGAGCTTGTTGCTCTTCAGTGCGTGTTTTAACAAGTCCAGCACTTCTTTCCACGTCGAGAACACAAGAATTTTCACAAACGGATCGGGACTAAGAATTCTCCTGACGACAGCTTCAATCTTCAAAGTTGCAAAAGAATTAAATTAAAAAGACGACAAAGCCAGATTACCTATGTTCCGTACGACCCTGCCACGGTTATAGATTTTTCTTCGTCCTCTTCTTCTTCCTGGAGGATTTCCGCAATTTTCGAAGAAGCCGCTTCAGCATTGGCACAAGCAATATTAGAGACATAAGTCTGCTACGTTGGACATGCAATGCGCTTGAAATCAGCACCGTTAGCTGGTGCTTTCTGGCGGTCCACAATAAGATTCAAACCTGCGAAATAAAATGAAGATTTGCTCAGGAAACCAACAAAGTAAGACACCAAAAACTTACACTTGCCACAAAGCAAATGGCCGCATGGAAGGACCATTGCTCCAGATTCTATGCCATCGTGGCAAACTGGGCAAATTTCTCCTTCCAAACTGTTATGCCCCTCGTCCTTCTTATTCCTTAGACCCTGCAATCCGGAAATGAGAGGAGCTGCGAATAGAAGAAAACTTAAGCCTAATACCTTCAAGTATCTGAGCTGCCTCTTCACACGAGATAGATTCTCAACAGCAACAAATTTTTCGTTGGTAAGCTCCGCGTTTCTAATTGCTATCTCGTAGCCTTCATCACCAAAAGGATTGCCGTCTGCAGCCTTGGCACCTTGCAAACATAGCCTTGTTGTCGACATGCTCAGCTCGTCCAATTCAGTTAGAACTAATTGTTGTGCTATTGTCAAGCGTCTCGCCGCTGCATATTCGCTACGCAATGCCTGAATTGACATGGTTTGTCAAAGACTTACAAATAAGCACAGGAGTGTTTACTTCAAGGTGGTTCGTTTCCGCTTTCATGTATGCAAGTAAAATTTTTAAAACCATTTCCGTTTCAGAACATCTGTGCGTAACTTGTGAAAAGAAATATTTAAGCTCGAAGCAAAGAAAAACAAAAGAAAAAAGTTTAAAAAACAAAAAGAAGTTGCCTTACCGCAGCTACTGCTGCTCCTTTTCTCCTGCCTGTGTTCGTCTCAGTTTCCTTGTTTCCCTTATCCAGTGAACATACTTGAGAAACAAAGGCGTCTTCTGCAGTAACAATGCCATCTAATTCAGCTGCTCGGGACGTCAAGTAAAATAGCCTATTTGCATATTTCTGTTTATCCACACTGACAATGTCAGAAACCACAGAAGCAGATTGTACCTGAAACATGAGATCAATCGCACAATGAGCACAATTATCCCAGTGTGTCTAGGCTGGCACTGGGAACATTGTCCAGCGCGCTGCACATAATCGGGATTCGGATTCTGCATCCCGCCATCCACTTCAACTAAGCGGCTCAGAACGTGGTCACGAGTCTCATGGAGAGTATCCAACTCCTGGCTTAGTAAGAACTTGAGGCCGTTAAGGTCGTGGTATCTACATGCTCAGTAGAGTACCTTCCAAGAAAGATAAAGACTAGAAACATTCCGACCACCAGCACGATTTACATCTTCCAGCCCGTGCTTTATTCGTTCCAATAGGTGGTCACTTCGTTTGCTCGATGTTTGAACCCATGCAAAAGCATCTAGCCACCAGTGGCTCCATCTTGAAGATTTATCATCAGACTGATCTGCAGGATAAAGAAGGGCTTTTTTGAAAAGAAATCAATAATACTTCTTTGTGTGCAGCGTGCTGAGCCGCAGCAAGATTTGCATACTGGCCACTGACGTACTTCCTTCGTAATTCGTCGCATTGACTGATCAGCATATCATCCCTCAGAGTTCTTGGAATTTTGCTCAATGCGTCATCCTTGCAGTTTCTGAGTGACTCTTCCAAATTGTGTAAAATATGGACTTTCTGAAGCGGATCAACTTCAAAATTAGTCGCATTTTCCTCCGCGGCTGCTAGTGCTTCTCGGTCAATGGAGACAGCCATGGGGATGTTTTCCTCGATAATCGCCAGACCTTCCAGTCCGTTCAACGAATCAACAAGATCTCGTTGAGCTTCTTCTCCTTCAGTTTTAGCTTTTTCAATTAGGACCTGAAGACTCTAATACCAAGGTTCCTTACCTCCAAGACTTCATCCATCGGCCTGCAATGAGCGTGGTGATGCCTGCAACGAGCGTACTCCCGAACTCCCCACTTGAGGATGGCAACAAGCTTGTCGCAGCTTCAACAAGGGGTTCATTAACTTTGAGGTATTCATATGATTTAGAGGTCGACCAGCACCTAATGAGTACTTCTCAATAGCTTCTCTGGCTCTCTTCACGCATTGCTCGTGTTGTTGCCTATAAAAGTGGTTCTCAACACCCGAAAACTTGAGCCATGTAATTCGCTCTTCTTGAGGAGGAATATCTAGCTGGTCTATGACATCGATCTTCATAGACCGCCACATAATCTCACGGAAAAAGGAATGAGCAAAGTCAACTGCTCCCATTTTTCCTTCCTGGAGAGCAACGAGTGTTACTTACAATAAAAAGGAAAAAACACATAGTACCTCGCAAGGATGTTTTATAGCTTTGCTGCCACCAAGTATGATTGTCAAACGGCTCTGCTTGTAAGAATCTAAGCAAGCCATGCAAATCCCTCCTCCTTCCTTCATCCTTTGCCTGGAACTAAACCCGACTGACTCTCCTTACTGCTCGGCACCGTATAGTTCTCCGTTTCTTCTTTGCATTCCCGCAAGCCCAACGAGTTCCACGAGACATTCTTTGCCCGGTTGTCCACTGTTACTGACAAGGGCCGAACAATGACGATCTTGTCATGACTGCAAAGCACCAAAGGATCATCACTGGTGTCGCTCACGTGAGGAAGTGTCTCGTAGACCAGAAACTTGTCCCTGACTGCATGGACGTTCCACTCCTTCCTGCTGTGAAGGTGGAGCTCCTGCCTGTACTGCTTGTGACTCATGATCAGATCCACGGAGTTGCTTTCCTTCTTGTAGGCTGTTTAAGTCTTCCTCCCGAGCTGGTGTTGGACTGCTACCATGCTGAATCTATCCAAGCCTACTTGGGGGTCTTTCTGCTGTCTCGGACGATGTGGCGGCCACAGCTTCCTCGTCTTCACATAGAGATCGTTTCCACGGGGCATGTCTGTGATCACCATGAGATAGTTGCCATCGACTCCAAGGATCATGACCATCACCACGTCGTGCCGGAAGCTGGAGATTCTCATGGCCAGCGTAAAGAAATCGAGCGAGAGATATGTGTCATGCTTCATCTTCTTGACAACCATGTCAACGATCTTGGGCTTAAGACTGTCCAGATTCTCTCTTCTCTCTTTCATTGCATCGAAGTCTAGCGTCTGGAACTAAGAACTGGATAGAAACTTTGTCAGTTCCCAGTTTAAAAGAAGAACGTATTGGAGGGCTGTGGATTCGGCGGCGAGATAGTGGAAGCTCGGCTTGTTCCTTCCTGCAAGAGGAGCTTCATGAGTTTTGCACGTCGATTGATAAGTTAGAAGATATCTTACCAATTTTCTGGAGCTGTGGGAGCTCGATCTGCCCTGCCTCCCCAGATTCTCAGCTGTGGATGAGAACGAAGCCCTCCAATACGACGATCATGCAGACAGCACCGCTGGAACATTTGCTTCCACGCACTCATGCATCAATGGTATTGCAAGAGAGGTGAAGCCATCCAGTCCAAGAAATCCCGGGCTAAAGAGCCTGAGCAATCAATCCCGCACTGGATTCTACCGCAGATATGGACAATCATGAATGGGGACCTAGAAAGGGAAGAAAGAATGTACTTTTTTCCTAAGATCTATAAATTAAATGCATGGAAATAAAAAAGATTGAATGTATAGTATAAGAACTAGATGATGAGTGTTGTTGCCCTTCCATTTTCTTCTGTAAAACTATGCTCTAAACAAGACAACTATGACATGCAAACCAAATTCTAATTAATTGAGAGAAAATGTCATTGAGAGAAACACTGTCAACTCCTTGTTCATTTAATTCAAAATATTCATTGTCCATTAAGAAAGAGAAAAAATTATTTTGAAAGAATATTTTATTTTATTGCCCTTGAACAAAAAAAGCTATATGCACTTTTGCCCAACATTTAAAGGGCATTTTTAAAAAACACCCATGTAAAATGGCTCAAAAAGGGCCAAAAGGGCATCAATTTTTTGCCTTTCAGTAATTGCCTTTGGAAATAAATACTAAAAGACAATACCTCATGAGTTTCATGTTTTGACTTATTATAGAATTTGAAGATTTTGATCTCATCCACTTGATTGATCCAGTTGTTACTGCATGCAATTTTCTCATCATTAAAATCAAAATTGAAGCCCTTTTTTCACATGGTTCTGTCTATTTAGGGTTTAGGGTTTATTCTAGAAAAAAGATAAAGGATTAATCACATGCAGCAAATGATTTTTTTTTTTCTAGGCTTTGAAAGAATAAGTATACATGTAGCACCCAACAACTAGATGCATTAAACCACAATGCAATGGATGCAAATGGATTTCTTGTCTTTGGTCTAGTAAAGTTCAACAGGCAAAAGTAATTTTCACATTGGCAAAAGAGAGGGACTCCAAGATTAAAATCCGGACAAGGAAATCAATTTGTATATTGTAAATGCCTCCAGCTGAGCCCACAAATGTGTATATATAATCAAAAGAGTTCCCTTGTTGTGCATAAGCTGTTCCAAAATCATTCAATATGTGATATTTCAATACGTATGGTATTACCCATGTTGAGGCACCAAGCGCCAGAAATTTGAATCGCGGCATCACATTGGTCGGAGCCCAGAAAGGATTGAATTTATGGACGGAGCTCAATCTCTTGAGCACTCTGTTTGAACGCTCGACTTGCAAATCTTCGATAGAGCAGCTAGGCAGAATTGCGGTCGAGCTCCCAACGCAAGATCTTTCGTGCAATCTCTTGCTGCTCCTAAATCTGGGCTGAGTCAGTTTGGAGGATTTTCTAGCGGTGCCATAGGCCGGAGGAAGAAACCACTAGCTGTGGAGAAGCCGGAAGCCTCTAGAAGCTAAACCCGAGACCAAGATCGATCGATCGGATAGCACATTGCTGCGGCAGCGCTGTGAGCTGCTACCCTAGTGGCCACGTTGAAAGAAGCGCCATGGCCGAGCAGCCCCGCCATGGCCGCTTCGCTAACCTCGTCTATTATGACGTGGCATGCCGCTAACCAACGTGGAAATTGTATTCCAGCACGTCGCCCTAATTAGGGCGCCACATCGGACCTTGATGGGACATCACCACAGAGACAGTCAGGCTAGCCCCCGATCAGTACAATCCATACGCAACTTTCAAGTCCGGAAAAAACGTGAGATTTTTGTAGAGATCGATCGGATGCCAAGTCATCAAATAGACAGGACTATGTGTGACTATAAATCCAAACAGCCCGAGGTTCAGCACCACAACAACATGGCAGCTTCATTCTTGTTCCTCACTATCCTAAGCTTTCAGCTACTTCTGATATCTGCAGGTTGATCTCCAAGTTTTGATTCTTTCTTTCAGGACTGACTTCTTGAATGCCTTGTCAAGATGATTTTGCAGCCAGCAGCCATCGTCTCCAGGTTTGTAGTGATGCTGTTGTCACTCTCGACGGATGCTCCAGTTGCTGTGCGCTTGAGGCTGGATGCATATATCTCGAGCCTGGAACTGGCAGTCCAGTTTGTCTTGGTGGCACCTCCCCTTTTCGTCCTTGCCCCTTAATTTGTCATCCACCAAAAATCAAAGTCTGCCCATCCCGAGGAACTAACCGAATTCCAATTTCTGTGCTCCCACCGGATAAGGAGCCTTCGAATGGCTGTCATCTCTACAATTTAAAGACTGGTGCACCACTGCCAAATGGTGATGACAACTCCTGCTTGAAGGATGCCGTGGAGATTTGTGGAGGCACTGTCCATCCTTGGAAGCCAGGCAGCTGCGCTACTTGTTGCACCATTCCTCAAGGTTGCATGGACTTGGGGCATGGCAAATCAGTATGCGTCTCAGGACCTGGTAAAGCCTGCACGCTCGAATGTGGGTTTGCTTCCTATGTCTGCCCAGGTCCAAAAAGTGTTGCGCTCGACTTCAACTCTTGCCACACTTGCAAGAAGCCACTCAGGGAAGGTTGCAAGCTCTACAACCGTCGGGGGCACCAGCTGTGCGTCAAGGAGGATGATCTACTCCAGCTTGCCTAGAAGATGATGCAGTATTTATAAAATAAACAGCTCTGGGCATCGTTGTTTAAATAACGGGTACTTGAAATGTATATATATATATTATATATATAAAGTTTGACAACGCAACTTGTTGTCTTGTAATCTTGCACTTACAAAGAAGTTCCAAACAAACTTTACCTAGGCATAATGTTTACTTTCCCAATATTCTATGTTATAGATCTCCGCAGAGCCAAATCATACATCACAATGCATTGGTGTTCAGCTCATCAGCTTCCTCTGAGTTGAAACAACATATGGCGTGCTAATTTGCAGCCTAAGAAAATTTCTAAATACCTGAACTTGAAGAAAAAATAAAGCAAAGCAAAAGGTTAGATCCAACGAATCTTTGTCCTTTTTACCCTTCCATTAATGCACTAATTACATATTAATTCTAAGCATCCATGGTGAGCTCTATAGCAACTTGCTTCTCCCACAGCCAGTCTCTAAACAAGTTCCCCTCGCACATAAATCTCCCCATAGAGATAAATGGCTTATTGGAGCATCATTAAAATCAAAATTGAAGGGTTGCCACCCTTTTTTCACGTGTCTATTTAAGGTTTAGGGTTTAGGGTTTAGATTGCATGTAGCAAATGAAATTTTTTTTCTAGCTTTGAAAGAATAAGTATACATGTACCACCCAACAACTAGATGCATTAAACCACAATGCAATGGATGCAAATGGTGTCCTGATTTTAATCTTGGAGTTCTCTTTTGCCAATGTTGAATTTTACTAGACCAAAGACAAGAAATCCAAGGAAATCAATTTGTATATTGTATAAATGCCTCCAACTGCACAAATATGTATATATAATCAAAAGAGTTCCCTTGTTGTGCATGAGCTGTTCCAAAATCATTCAATATGTGATATTTCAATACGTATGGTATTACCCATGTTGAGGCACCAAGCGCCAGAAATTTGAATCGCGGCATCACATTGGTCGGAGCCCAGAAAGGATTGAATTTATGGACGGAGCTCAATCTCTTGAGCACTCTGTTTGAACGCTCGACTTGCAAATCTTCGATAGAGCAGCTAGGCAGAATTGCGGTCGAGCTCCCAACGCAAGATCTTTCGTGCAATCTCTCGCTGCTCCTAAATCTCGATCTGTTCTTCAAGGTTTGGAGGATTTTCTAGCGGTGCCATAGGCCGGAGGACGAAACCACTAGCTGTGGAGAAGCCGGAAACCTCTAGAAACTAAACCCGAGACCCAGATCGATCGATCGGATAGCACATTGCTGTGACAGCGCTGTGAGCTGCTACCCTAGTGCTCCCAGCCTGGCCACGTTGAAAGAACCGCCATGGCCGAGCAGCCCCGCCATGGCCGCTTCGCTAACCTCGTCTATTATGACGTGGCATGCAATCCTTTGTATTTCCGGCCACGTCGCCCTAATAAGGGCGCCACATCGGACCTCACCGATCAAACTACTGATGGGACACCTCTCTGGAAGTATATGATTTGTTTCACCACAGAGAGCCAGGCTAGGTGGCCCCCGATCAGTACAATCCATACGCAACTTTCAAGTCCGGAAAAAACGTGAGATTTTTGTAGAGATCGATCGCATGCCACTGTGTGACTATAAATTCAAACAGCCCGAGGTTCAGCACCACAACAACATGGCAGCTTCATTCTTGTTCCTCACTATCCTAAGCTTTCAGCTACTTCTGATATCTGCAGGTTGATCTCCAAGTTTTGATTCTTTCTTTCAGGACTGACTTCTTGAATGCCTTGTCAAGATGATTTTGCAGCCAGCGGCCATCGTCTCCAGGTTTGTAGTGATGCTGTTGTCACTCTGGACGCATGCTCCAATTGCTGTACGCTTGAGGCTGGATGCATATATCTCGAGCCTGGAACTGGCAGTCCAGTTTGTCTTGGTGGCACCGCCCCTTTTCGTCCTTGCCACCCAATTTGTCTTCCACCAAAAATCAAAGTCTGCCCATCCCGATGGACTAACCAAATTCCAATTTCTGTGCTCCCACCGGGTAAGGAGCCTTCGAATGGCTGTCATCTCTACAATTTAAAGACTGGTGCACCACTGCCAAATGGTGATGACAACTCCTGCTTGAAGGATGCCGTGGAGATTTGTGGAGGCACTGTCCATCCTTGGACGCCAGGCAGCTGCGCTACTTGTTGCAGCATTCCTCAAGGTTGCTTGGACTTGGGGCATGGCAAATCGATATGCGTCTCAGGACCTGATAAAACTTGCACGTTCAAATGTGGCTCTGCTTCCTATGTCTGCCCAGGTCCAAAAAGTGTTGCGCTCGACTTCAACTCTTGCCACACTTGCAGGAAGCCACTCAAGGAAGGTTGCAAGCTCTACAACCGTCAGGGGCACCAGCTGTGCGTCAAGGAGGATGATCTACTCCAGCTTGCCTAGAAGATGATGCTGTATTTATATAAAATAAACAGCTCTGGGCATGGTTGTTTAAATAATGTATATATATTACATATGTAAAGTTTGACAACGAGACTTGTTGTCTGCAATCTCTTTGTAATCTTGCACTTATGAAGAAGTTCCAAACAAACTTTACCTAGGCATAATGGTTACTTTCCCAGTATTCCATGTTATAGATCTCCACAGAGACAAATCATGCATAACCAGCTCATCAGCTTCCTCTGAGTTGAAACAACATATGGCTCGCTCTTGCCTTATCACATCCATGTGCTAATTTGCAGCCTAAGAAAAATCCTAAATACCTGAACTTAAGAAAAAATAAAGCAAAGCAAAAGGCTAGATCCAACGAATCTTGGTCCTTTTTACCATCCCACTAATGCGCTAATTACATATAAGCATCCATGGTGAGCTCTATAGCAACTTGCTTCTCCCACAGCCAGTCTCTAAACAAGTTCCCCTCGCACATAAATCTCCCCATAGAGATGAAAGGCTCAAACGGCGAGTCTAGAGCCACCAGCGTCCTGTTCACCGCATGGGTCACCTCCTTGCTCTTAGCCACACACGATGATCACTCGCTCCGGCCTATCGAATCCCCGCGCGAGCTTCCGCCTGGACACGATCAATCCACTGGTGAGCGCCACCATCGCAGTCCCGGAGCTCATATCCTGGAGCCAGATAAACCACGCTCCCTGCCAGTCCTCCCAGATCCCTCTCGGGTAGAGCTCTGTGGAGGAGACACCCTCCCACACGTAGAAGGCCTCGCGAGCGTAGCCAAAGCAGTGGAGATGGTTGACGAGAGCATCCGCCAGCCATCGCCCCCAGCGAGGAGGCTTGTCCATCCTCAGCTTGCGGAAAAACTCCCTCGAGTAGCTCTTGAGCTCCTTGATCGCGCGGAGGCCTTGCAGGATCTCGTTCAGGAACTCGTCCACGCCGGGATGATCATCTCCTCCTCCTCCTCCTCCTCCTGCTGCTGCTGCTGCTGGTTTCGAGGACGACTTCATCATCTCTCTCACTGCTCTCGAGTCCGCCACCTTGACGCTGCTCGTGTAGTGGCCCAGGAGGATCGTGTACGTTTGCAGCGTCGGCTCCATGCCTCTCTCCGGCATGACTTTGGTGAGGATGAACTTAGCCGGTTCCACTTCTCGGGCCTTGAGGTAGCCATCGATGAGCGCGTTGCACATCTCGATGCTTGGACCGGCCTTCGTCTTGCAGGCTTTGTTGAACCATCGCCGGGCTTGCAGCATAGCTCCGGCTCTCGCCCACGAACTTATGAGCGTGCAGTACGTGAATCGATCTGGAGCGAGGCCGGCCTTTCGTATATCACCCAGGATGTTCTGCGCATGGCCAGGGAAGCCGCTGGAACCGTAACTCAGTATCACGTTGTTGTAGACGATCAAGTTTGGCTCTAGGCCGGAGCGGAGGTAGTCCGCGTAGAGCTCTGCCGCTGCTTTCGAGTCTCGAGCCTTGGCGTACATGTGGATGAGGATGGCGTACGTTGCAGAGGAGAATGGAATCCCCCAGGCTTTCATCTGGTTGGCAGCTTCCCTGGCGTTTGCGAAGTCCCGCTGCTTGCAGAAGTTGTGGATCATTGTGTTGAACGTCTGCGCGTCGGCATTGTGGGGGGAGGCTCTCAAGTCGAGGAAGATCCGTTGGAGCTCCTTCCGGGAGCCGAACTTGCCGCACCAGTCGATGAGGAGGCCGAAGGTGCAATTGTCCGGGTGACAGCCAAAGTATGGCATCTTCCTGTAGAGGTCGAGAGCTTCCTGGATCCGGTTCACTCTTGTGTAGCAGCGGATCATGTTGTTCACTGCAAACGTGTCAAGGCGAAGCCCGAGCTCCTGTATCTCAACAAAAAGCGCCTCGGCCATGAGATAGTTCCCGTCATCTCCCAAGATCATGATCATCGTCGAGTAGTTTACCAAGTCGTGCTTGAAGCCTGGGATCGTATTGGCCCACGTAAAGAGCTTGAGCGAGAGAGATGCGTCGTGCTTGATCTTCTTGAGAACCACGCAGACCTGGTGGGGGTGCGTTATCCCACGCTTGAGCCTGTCCAGCTTCTCAACCATCTCGGAGCTCCAGCTCGCTCCTCCTTCCTTCACAGTCTCGTACAAGGCATCGAAGACTAGCGCTCCTTTGCCTGGAACTAAACCCGGCAGCGCCACCTTACTGCTCGGCACCATATAGTTCCCGATCGTTCCCTCTTTGCCTTCTTCTGGCAAGCTCCACACTGGAAACGAGTTCCATGACGAGGAAACATTTGTCGCCCGGTTGTCCATTGTTACTGACAGAGGGCGACCAATGACGAACTTGTCGCGACCACAAAGCACCGGAGGATCATCACCGGTGTCGGTCGCGGGAGGAAGTGTCTCGTAGACCAGAAACTTGTCCCCGACTGCATGGACATTCCACTGCTTCTGTCCCCTGTGAAGATGGAGCTCGCACCTGTATTGCTTGTGACCCAGAATCGGACCCACGTAGTTGCCTTCCTGCTCCTCGGCTGTGTAAGGCTTCTTCCCGAGCTGGTGTTGGAGTGCTACCCACTGCCCACTGATTCTATCCAAGCCTGCTTGAGGGTCTGCGCGAACAAAGCGTTCCTGCTCTCGACTTAGTCGCGGACGAGGCGGCGGCCTCAGTTTCCTACCATACTTCGTCTTCACGTAGAGATCGTCGTCACGGCACAGGTCTCTGATCGCAGCAATCTGTTCCTTCGTCCAGTAGAAGCGAGGAAGGGGCTGAAACTTGGCACCCATCTCTGTTGCTAGCTAGCTAAACCCCTCGCCAAAAGAAAAACTTACCGAAAGCTCATCTTTCGATTAAAGAATGTTCCTTCTCTGCTAGAAAATACAAAGGTTCAGAATCCGGACATGCAAGAGAAAGTACTTACAAGGAATCTATAGGCAAGCGTTGGCCTGTAGTCACAAGAGCCGCGATTCAGCAGCAGCAGCAGCAGCTTGAGCCGGAGTTAAATCTCGGAAAGTATCAGGAGTAGAACCACTGGGGGTGTTTGAAGTAGATGTGTTCTCTTTCAGTTCGTCCCAAGCTAGTAAGCTGTTCATGTCATTTGCTGAAAGAGGCTGCTCTTTTTGTTTCATTGGAAGGAGGTTCGTCTTCTGCTGGCTCATTTTGTAGATGTTCTCCTCCACAGTGTTACGTATCTGGAAATGTCGTCAGTAATTGGAAAACAGAAGAAACGTACGTAACTTACAATGAATCTATGTACAAGTGTCTTTAGACGTTGGCCAATCCGGTGGACTCGATTGATAGCCTGAGCTTCTACTGCCGGATTGAGCAAAGGCTCCACCAAAATAACGTGTTGGGCCTCTATTAAGTTCAGGCCATTGGCACCATGTTGTGTGGGCAGTAACATGACTTGGATGTTCTCCTTCTTAAATTCCAAGATGGAAGAACCCATTTGTCTGTGAAAAACACAAAACGAGCACATGAGTAAAAGTAAAACAGATTATCGATGTTACCTGCGCTGCTTTAATCGAACCCAGCTGAGCTTGTTGCTCTTCAGTGCGTGTTCTAACAAGTCCAGCACTTCTTGCCACGTCGAGAACACAAGAATTGTCACAAACGGATCGTCTTCTTTCAGACTAAGAATTCTTCTGACGACAGCTTCAATCTTCAAACTTGCAAAAGAATTAAAATAAAAAGCAGACGACAAAGCGAGATTACCTTTGTTCCGTACGACCCTGCCACGGTTATAGATTTTTCTTCGTCCTCTTCTTCTTCCTGGAGGATTTCAGCAATTTTCGAAGAAGCCGCTTCAGCATATATTAGAGACATAAGTCTGTTGTCTGCACGTTGGACATGCAATGCGCTTGAAATCAGCACCGTTAGCTGGTGCTTTCTGGCGGTCCACAATAAGATTCAAACCTGCGAAGTAAAATGAAGATTTGCTCAGGAAACCAACAAAGTAAGACACCAAAAACTTACACTTGCCACAAAGCAAATGGCCGCACGGAAGGACCATTGCTCCAGATTCTATGCCATCGTGGCAAACTGGGCAAATTTCTCCTTCCAAACTGTTATGCCCCTCGTCCTTCTTATTCCTTAGACCCTGCAATCCGGAAATGAGAGGAGCTGCGAATAGAAGAAAACTTAAGCCTAATACCTTCAAGTATCTGAGCTGCCTCTTCACACGAGATAGATTCTCAACAGCAACAAATTTTTCGTTGGTAAGCGCCGCGTTTCTAATTGCTATCTCGTAGCCTTCATCACCAAAAGGATTGCCGTCTGCAGCCTTGGCACCTTGCAAGCAAACATAGCCTTGTTGTCGACATGCTCAGCTCGTCCAATGCAGTTAGAACTAATTGTTGTGCTGTTGTCAAGCGTCTCGCCGCTGCATATTCGCTACGCAATGCCTGAATTGACACGGTTTGTCAAACAGACTTACAAATAAGCACAGGAGTGTTTACTTCAAGGTACTCGAGGTGCTTCTTTGCGGCTTCTATCTCATCCTCCTCAAGGTTCGTTTCCGCTTTCATGTATGCAAGTAAAATTTTTAAAACCATTTCCGTTTCAGAACATCTGTGCGTAACCTGTGAAAAGAAATATTTAAGCTCGAAGGAAAGAAAAACAAAAGAAAAAAGTTAGAAAAACAAAAAGAAGTTGCCTTACCGCAGCTACTGCTGCTCCTTTTCTCCTGCCTGTGAACGTACTTGAGAAACAAAGGCGTCTTCTGCAGTAACAATGCCATCTAATTCAGCTGCTCGGGACGTCAAGTAAAATCGCCTATTTGCATATTTCTGTTTATCCACACAAGAAAGAAGTAGATTGTACCTGAAACATGAGATCAATAGCACAATGAGCACAGGTTATCCCAGTGTGTCTAGGCTGGCACTGGGAACATTGTCCAGCGCGCTGCACATAATCGGGATTCGGATTCTGCATCCCGCCATCCATTTCAAGTAAGCGACTCAGTACGTGGTCACGAGTCTCATGGAGAGCATCCAACTCCTGGCTTAGTAAGAACTTGAGGTCGACCAGCACCTAATGAGTACTTCTCAATAGCTTCTCTGGCCCCCTTCACGCATTGCTCGTGTTGTTGCCTATAAAAGACTCATGATCAGATCCACGGAGTTGCTTTCCTTCTTGTAGGCTGTTTAAGTCTTCCTCCCGAGCTGGTGTTGGACTGCTACCATGCTGAATCTATCCAAGCCTACTTGGGGGTCTTTCTGCTGTCTCGGACGATGTGGCGGCCACAGCTTCCTCGTCTTCACATAGAGATCGTTTCCACGGGGCATGTCTGTGATCACCAAGATAGTTGCCATCGACTCCAAGGATCATGACCATCACCACGTCGTGCCGGAAGCTGGAGATTCTCATGGCCAGCGTAAAGAAATCGAGCGAGAGATATGTGTTATGCTTCATCTTCTTGACAACCATGTCAACGATCTTGGGCTTAAGACTGTCCAGATTCTCTCTTCTCTCTTTCATTGCATCGAAGTCTAGCGTCTGGAACTAAGAACTGGATAGAAACTTTGTCAGTTCCCAGTTTAAAAGAAGAACGTACCAAGGCTTTCCTCCGCTAGAACTAGTCGCAGTTGGCTGTCGATTCGGCGGCGAGATAGTGGAAGCTCGGCTTGTTCCTTCCTGCAAGAGGAGCTTCATGAGTTTTGCACGTCGATTGATAAGTTAGAAGATATCTTACCAATTTTCTGGAGCTGTGGGAGCTCGATCTGCCCTGCCTGCCCAGATTCTCAGCTGGTGGATGAGAACCAAGCCCTCCAATACGACGATCATGCCAACAGCACCGCTGGAACATTTGCTTCCACGCACTCATGCATCAATGGTATTGCGAGAGGTGAAGCCATCCAGTCGAAGAAATCCCGGGCTAAAGAGCCTGAGCAATCAATCCCGCACTGGATTCTACCGCAGATCTGGACAATCATGGCGAGCTGTGGCAATGGGGGCCTAGAAAGGGAAGAAAGGATGTACTTTTTTCCTAAGATCTACAAGTAAATGCATGGAAATAGAAAAGATTGAATGTACAGTATGAGAACTGAATGATGACTCTTGTTGCCCTTTCAATTTCTTCTGTGTAAAACTTAAACAAGACAACTATGGCATGCGATCCAAATTCTAATCAATTGAGAGAGTCATCGAGACTCCTTGCTCATTTAATTCGGAATATTCATTGTCCATTAAGAAAGAGAAAAATATTCTGAAAGAATATTTTATTTTATTGCCCTTGAACAAAAGGGCTATATAGAAGCGCATCCTTCACGTAAAAGAAATTTTGGTAATTTTTACCTAATATTTAAAGGGCATTTTTAAAAACACCCATGTAAAATGGCTCAAAAAGGGCCAAAAGGGCATCAATTTTTTGCCTTGAATCACCAGGCTTCAGTAATTGCCTTTGGAAATAAATACTACAAGCCAATACCTCATGAGTCTCATGTTTTGGCTTATTATAGAATTTGAAGATTTTGATCTCAACCACTTGATTGATCCAGTTGTTACTGCATGCAATTCTTAAAGTCACACAAGACCTGTTGCCTTCAATTTTGCCACGGGTTTAGGGTTTAAGGTTTAGATTATATTCTAGAAAAAGGTAAAGGAGTATGATTATAGCAAATGATTTTTTTTTTCTAGGCTTTGAAAGAATAAGTATACATGTAACACCCAACAACTAAATGCATTAAACCACAATGCAATGGATGCAAATGGATTTCTTGTCTTTGGTCTAGTAAAGTTCAACAGGCAAAAGTAATTTTGACATTGGCAAAAGAAGGGGAATCCAAGATTAAAATTAGGACAAGGAAATCAATTTGTATATTGTAAATGCCTCCAGCTGAGCCCACAAATGTGTATATATAATCAAAAGAGTTCCCTTGTTGTGCATAAGCTGTTCCAAAATCATTCAATATGTGATATTTCAATACATATGGTATTACCCATGCTGAGGCACCGGGCATCCAAGCGCCAGAAATTTGAATCGCGGCATCACCTTGTCAAATGCAGACGTGGCACTCATATCTCATAAAGGATTGAATTTATAGATGGAGCTCAATCTCATGAGCACTCTCCGTTTGAACGGCAAATCTTCCATAGAGCAGCTAGGCACCGGTCGAGCTCCCAACGCAAGACCTTTCGTGCAATCTCTTGTTCCTCCTAAATCTCGATCTGTTCTTCAAGGGCTGAGTCGGTTTGGAGGATTTTCTAGCGGTGCCATAGGCCGGAGGAAGAAACCACTAGCTGTGGCGAAGCCGGAAACCTCTAGAAGCTAAACCCGAGACCAAGATCGATCGATCGGATAGCACATTACTGTGGCAGCGCTGTGAGCTGCTACCCTAGTGCTCCCAGCCTGGCCACGTTGAAAGAAGCGCCATGGCCAAGCAGCCCTGCCATGGCCGCTTCGTCTATTATGACGTGGCATGCCGCTAACCAACGTGGAAATTCATTCCGGCCACGTCGCCCTAATCAAAATACTGATGGGACACTTCTCTGGAAGTATATGAGTTGTTTCACCACAGAGAGTCAGGCTAGGTGGCCCCCGATCAGTACAATCCATACGCAACTTTCAAGTCCGGAAAAAACGTGAGATTTTGTAGAGATCGATCAGATGCCAAGTCATCACATAGATAAGACTCTGTCTGACTATAAATCCAAACAGCCCGAGGTTCAGCACCACAACAACATGGCAGCTTCATTCTTGTTCCTCACTATCCTAAGCTTTCAGCTACTTCTGATATCTGCAGGTTGATCTCCAAGTTTTGATTCTTTCTTTCAGGACTGACTTCTTGAATGCCTTGTCAAGATGATTTTGCAGCCAGCAGCCATCGTCTCCAGGTTTGTAGTGATGCTGTTGTCACTCTCGACGGATGCTCCAGTTGCTGTGCGCTTGAGGCTGGATGCATATATCTCGAGCCTGGAACTGGCAGTCCAGTTTGTCTTGGTGGCACCTCCCCTTTTCGTCCTTGCCCCTTAATTTGTCATCCACCAAAAATCAAAGTCTGCCCATCCCGAGGAACTAACCGAATTCCAATTTCTGTGCTCCCACCGGATAAGGAGCCTTCGAATGGCTGTCATCTCTACAATTTAAAGACTGGTGCACCACTGCCAAATGGTGATGACAACTCCTGCTTGAAGGATGCCGTGGAGATTTGTGGAGGCACTGTCCATCCTTGGAAGCCAGGCAGCTGCGCTACTTGTTGCACCATTCCTCAAGGTTGCATGGACTTGGGGCATGGCAAATCAGTATGCGTCTCAGGACCTGGTAAAGCCTGCACGCTCGAATGTGGGTTTGCTTCCTATGTCTGCCCAGGTCCAAAAAGTGTTGCGCTCGACTTCAACTCTTGCCACACTTGCAAGAAGCCACTCAGGGAAGGTTGCAAGCTCTACAACCGTCGGGGGCACCAGCTGTGCGTCAAGGAGGATGATCTACTCCAGCTTGCCTAGAAGATGATGCAGTATTTATAAAATAAACAGCTCTGGGCATCGTTGTTTAAATAACGGGTACTTGAAATGTATATATATATATTATATATATAAAGTTTGACAACGCAACTTGTTGTCTGCAATCTCTTTGTAGTCTTGCACTTTCAAAGAAGTTCCAAACAAACCATAATGTTTACTTTCCCAATAGTCTATGTTATAGATCTCAATCATACATCACAATGCATTGGTGTTCAGCTCATCAGCTTCCTGAGTTGAAACAACATAAGGCTCGCTCTTGCCATATCACATCCATAAGTGCTAATTTGCAGCCTAAGAAAATTCCTAGCTTAAGAAAAAGCAAAGCAAAAGGATAGATCCAACGAATCTTTGTCCTTTTTACCCTCCCATTAATGCGCTAATTACATATTAATTCTAAGCATCCATGGTGAGCTCTATAGCAACTTGCTTCTCCCACAGCCAGTCTCTAAACAAGTTCCCCTCGCACATAAATCTCCCCATAGAGATGAAAGGCTCAAACGGCGAGTCTAGAGCCACCAGCGTCCTGTTCACCGCATGGGTCACCTCCTTGCTCTTGTCCGACGCGTAGCCACACACGATGATCACTCGCTCCGGCCTCTCGAATCCCCGCGCGAGCTTCCGCCTGGACACACTGGTGAGCGCCACCATCGCAGTCCCGGAGCTCATATCCTGGAGCCAGATAAACCACGCTCCCTGCCAGTCCTCCCAGATCCCTCTCGGGTAGAGCTCTGTGGAGGAGACCCCCTCCCACACGTAGAAGGCCTCGCGAGCGTAGCCAAAGCAGTGGAGATGGTTGACGAGAGCGTCCGCCAGCCATCGCCCCCAGCGAGGAGGCTTGTCCATCCTCAGCTTGCGGAAAAACTCCCTCGAGTAGCTCTTGAGCTCCTTGATCGCGCGGAGGCCTTGCAGGATCTCGTTCAGGAACTCGTCCACGCCAGGATGATCATCTCCTCCTCCTCCTCCTCCTGCTGCTGCTGCTGCTGCTGCTGGTAGTGGTGGTGGTTTCGAGGACGACTTCATCATCTCTCTCACTGCTCTCGAGTCCGCCACCTTGACGCTGCTCGTGTAGTGGCCCAGGAGGATCGTGTACGTTTGCAGCGTCGGCTCCACGCCTCTCTCCGGCATGACTTTGGTGAGGATGAACTTAGCCGGTTCCACTTCTCGGGCCTTGAGGTAGCCATCGATGAGCGCGTTGCACATCTCGATGCTTGGACCGGCCTTCGTCTTGCAGGCTTTGTTGAACCATCGCCGGGCTTGCAGCATAGCTCCGGCTCTCGCCCACGAACTTATGAGCGTGCAGTACGTGAATCGATCTGGAGCGAGGCCGGCCTTTCGTATATCACCCAGGATGTTCTGCGCATGGCCAGGGAAGCCGCTGGAACCGTAACTCAGTATCACGTTGTTGTAGACGATCAAGTTTGGCTCTAGGCCGGAGCGGAGGTAGTCCGCGTAGAGCTCTGCCGCTGCTTTCGAGTCTCGAGCCTTGGCGTACATGTGGATGAGGATGGCGTACGTTGCAGAGGAGAATGGAATCCCCCAGGCTTTCATCTGGTTGGCGGCTTCCCTGGCGTTTGCGAAGTCCCGCTGCTTGCAGAAGTTGTGGATCATTGTGTTGAACGTCTGCGCGTCGGCATTGCGGGGGGAGGCTCTCAAGTCGAGGAAGATCCGTTGGAGCTCCTTCCGGGAGCCGAACTTGCCGCACCAGTCGATGAGGAGGCCGAAGGTGCAATTGTCCGGGTGACAGCCAAAGTATGGCATCTTACTGTAGAGGTCGAGAGCTTCCTGGATCCGGTTCACTCTTGTGTAGCAGCGGATCATGTTGTTCACTGCAAACGTGTCAAGGCGAAGCCCGAGCTCCTGGATCTCAACAAAAAGTGCCTCGGCCATGAGATAGTTCCCGTCATCTCCCAAGATCATGATCATCGTCGAGTAGTTTACCAAGTCGTGCTTGAAGCCTGGGATCGTCTTGGCCCACGTAAAGAGCTTGAGCGAGAGAGATGCGTCGTGCTTGATCTTCTTGAGAACCACGCAGACCTGGTGGGGGTGCATTATCCCATGCTTGAGCCTGTCCAGCTTCTCAACCATCTCGGAGCTCCAGCTCACTCCTCCTTCCTTCACAGTCTCGTACAAGGCATCGAAGACTAGCGCTCCCCTGCCTGGAACTAAACCCGGCAGCGCCACCTTACTGCTCGGCACCATATAGTTCCCCGGCAGAGCGATCGTTCCCTCCTTGCCTTCTTTTGGCAAGCTCCACACTGGAAACGAGTTCCACGACGAGGAAACATTCGTCGCCCGGTTGTCTAGTGACAGAGGCCGACCAATGACGAACTTGTCGCGACCACAAAGCACCGGAGGATCATCACCGGTGTCGGTCGCAGGAGGAAGTGTCTCGTAGACCAGAAACTTGTCCCCGACTGCATGGACATTCCATTGCTTCTGTCCCCTGTGAAGATGGAGCTCGCACCTGTATTGCTTGTGACCCAGAATCGGACCCATGTAGGTGCCTTCCTGCTTCTTCCCGAGCTGGTGTTGGAGTGCTACCCACTGCCCACTGATTCTATCCAAGCCTGCTTGAGGGTCTGTGTGAACAAAGCGTTCCTGCTCTCGACTTAGTCGCGGACGAGGCGGCGGCCTCAACTTCCTACCATACTACGTCTTCACGTAGAGATCGTCGTCCCGGCACAGGTCTCTGATCGCAGCCTTCGTCCAGTAGAAGCGAGGAAGGGGCTGAAACTTGGCACCCATCTCTGTTGCTAGCTAGCTAAACCCCTCGCCAACAGAAAAACTTACCGAAAGCTCATCGTTTGACTAAAGAATGTTCCTTCTCTGCCAGAAAATACGAAGGTTCAGAATCCGGACATGCAACAGAAAGTACTTACAAAGAATCTATAGACAAGCGTTGGCCTGTAGTCGCAAGAGCCGCGATTCAGCAGCAGCAGCAGCAGCTTGAGCCGGAGTTAAATCTCGGAAAGTATCAGGAGTAGAACCACTGTATTTGAAGTAGCTGTGTTCTCTTTCGGTTCGTCCCAAGCGATTCATTGTAAACTGTTCATGTCATTCGCTGATAGAGGCTGCTCTTTTTGTTTCATTGGAAGGAGGTTCGTCTTCTGCTGGTTCATTTTGTAGATGTTCTCCTCCACAGTGTTACGTATCTGGAAATGTCGTCAGTAATTGGAAAACAGAAGAAACGTACGTAACTTACAATGAATCTATGTACAAGTGTCTTAAGACGTTGGCCAATCCGGTGGACTAGATTGATAGCCTGAGCTTCTACTGCCGGGGTGAGCAAAGGCTCCACCAAAATAACGTGTTCTCTATTAAGTTCAGGCCATTGGCACCATGTTGTATGGGTAGTAACATGACTTGGATGTTCTCCTTAAATTCCAAGATGGAAGAACCCATTTGTCTGAAAAACACAAAACGAGCACATGAGTAAAAGTAAAACAGATTATCGATATTACCTGAGAGGCTTTAGTCGAACCCAGCTGAGCTTGTTGCTCTTCAGTGCGTGTTCTAACAAGTCCAGCACTTCTTTCCACGTCGAGAACACAAGAATTTTCACAAACGGATCGTCTTCTTTCAGACTAAGAATTCTCCTGACGACAGCTTCAATCTTCAAAGTTGCAATAGAATTAAAATAAAAAGCAGACGACAAAGCGAGATTACCTTTGTTCCGTACGACCCTGCCACGGTTATAGATTTTTCTTCGTCCTCTTCTTCTTCCTGGAGGATTTCCGCAATTTTCGAAGAAGCCGCTTCAGCATTGGCATAAGCAATATTAGAGACATAAGTCTGCTGCACGTTGGACATGCAATGCGCTTGAAATCAGCACCGTTAGCTGGTGCTTTCTGGCGGTCCACAATAAGATTCAAACCTGCGAAATAAAATGAAGATTTGCTCAGGAAACCAACAAAGTAAGACACCAAAAACTTACACTTGCCACAAAGCAAATGGCCGCATGGAAGGACCATCGCTCCAGATTCTATGCCATCGTGGCAAACTGGGCAAATTTCTCCTTCCAAACTGTTATGCCCCTCGTCCTTCTTATTCCTTAGACCCTGCAATCCGGAAATGAGAGGAGCTGCGAATAGAAGAAAACTTAAGCCTAATACCTTCAAGTATCTGAGCTGCCTCTTCACACGAGATAGATTCTCAACAGCAACAAATTTTTCGTTGGTAAGCTCCGCGTTTCTAATTGCTATCTCGTAGCCTTCATCACCAAAAGGATTGCCGTCTGCAGCCTTGGCACCTTGCAAACATAGCCTTGTTGTCGACATGCTCAGCTCGTCCAATTCAGTTAGAACTAATTGTTGTGCTATTGTCATTCCGACCACCAGCACGATTTACATCTTCCAGCCCGTGCTTTATTCGTTCCAATAGGTGGTCACTTCGTTTGCTCGATGTTTGAACCCATGCAAAAGCATCTAGCCACCAGTGGCTCCATCTTGAAGATTTATCATCAGACTGATCTGCAGGATAAAGAAGGGCTTTTTTGAAAAGAAATCAATAATACTTCTTTGTGTGCAGCGTGCTGAGCCGCAGCAAGATTTGCATACTGGCCACTGACGTACTTCCTTCGTAATTCGTCGCATTGACTGATCAGCATATCATCCCTCAGAGTTCTTGGAATTTTGCTCAATGCGTCATCCTTGCAGTTTCTGAGTGACTCTTCCAAATTGTGTAAAATATGGACTTTCTGAAGCGGATCAACTTCAAAATTAGTCGCATTTTCCTCCGCGGCTGCTAGTGCTTCTCGGTCAATGGAGACAGCCATGGGGATGTTTTCCTCGATAATCGCCAGACCTGCCAGTCCGTTCAACGAATCAACAAGATCTCGTTGAGCTTCTTCTCCTTCAGTTTTAGCTTTTTCAATTAGGACCTGAAGACTCTAATACCAAGGTTCCTTACCTCCAAGACTTCATCCATCGGCCTGCAATGAGCGTGGTGATGCCTGCAACGAGCGTACTCCCGAACTCCCCACTTGAGGATGGCAACAAGCTTGTCGCAGCTTCAACAAGGGGTTCATTAACTTTGAGGTATTCATATGATTTAGAGGTCGACCAGCACCTAATGAGTACTTCTCAATAGCTTCTCTGGCTCTCTTCACGCATTGCTCGTGTTGTTGCCTATAAAAGTGGTTCTCAACACCCGAAAACTTGAGCCATGTAATTCGCTCTTCTTGAGGAGGAATATCTAGCTGGTCTATGACATCGATCTTCATAGACCGCCACATAATCTCACGGAAAAAGGAATGAGCAAAGTCAACTGCTCCCATTTTTCCTTCCTGGAGAGCAACGAGTGTTACTTACAATAAAAAGGAAAAAACACATAGTACCTCGCAAGGATGTTTTATAGCTTTGCTGCCACCAAGTATGATTGTCAAACGGCTCTGCTTGTAAGAATCTAAGCAAGCCATGCAAATCCCTCCTCCTTCCTTCATCCTTTGCCTGGAACTAAACCCGACTGACTCTCCTTACTGCTCGGCACCGTATAGTTCTCCGTTTCTTCTTTGCATTCCCGCAAGCCCAATGAGTTCCACGAGACATTCTTTGCCCGGTTGTCCACTGTTACTGACAAGGGCCGAACAATGACGATCTTGTCATGACTGCAAAGCACCAAAGGATCATCACTGGTGTCGCTCACGTGAGGAAGTGTCTCGTAGACCAGAAACTTGTCCCTGACTGCATGGACGTTCCACTCCTTCCTGCTGTGAAGGTGGAGCTCCTGCCTGTACTGCTTGTGACTCATGATCAGATCCACGGAGTTGCTTTCCTTCTTGTAGGCTGTTTAAGTCTTCCTCCCGAGCTGGTGTTGGACTGCTACCATGCTGAATCTATCCAAGCCTACTTGGGGGTCTTTCTGCTGTCTCGGACGATGTGGCGGCCACAGCTTCCTCGTCTTCACATAGAGATCGTTTCCACGGGGCATGTCTCTGATCACCAAGATAGTTGCCATCGACTCCAAGGATCATGACCATCACCACGTCGTGCCGGAAGCTGGAGATTCTCATGGCCAGCGTAAAGAAATCGAGCGAGAGATATGTGTTATGCTTCATCTTCTTGACAACCATGTCAACGATCTTGGGCTTAAGACTGTCCAGATTCTCTCTTCTCTCTTTCATTGCATCGAAGTCTAGCGTCTGGAACTAAGAACTGGATAGAAACTTGTCAGTTCCCAGTTTAAAAGAAGAACGTATTGGAGGGCTGTGGATTCGGCGGCGAGATAGTGGAAGCTCGGCTTGTTCCTTCCTGCAAGAGGAGCTTCATGAGTTTTGCAAGTCGATTGATAAGTTAGAAGATATCTTACCAATTTGCTGGAGCTGTGGGAGCTCGATCTGCCCTCCCTCCCCAGATTCTCAGCTGTGGATGAGAACGAAGCCCTCCAATACGACGATCATGCAGACAGCACCGCTGGAACATTTGCTTCCACGCACTCATGCATCAATGGTATTGCAAGAGAGGTGAAGCCATCCAGTCCAAGAAATCCCGGGCTAAAGAGCCTGAGCAATCAATCCCGCACTGGATTCTACCGCAGATATGGACAATCACGGCGAGCTGTGGCAATGGGGACCTAGAAAGGGAAGAAAGAATGTACTTTTTTCCTAAGATCTATAAATTAAATGCATGGAAATAAAAAAGATTGAATGTATAGTATAAGAACTAGATGATGAGTGTTGTTGCCCTTCCATTTTCTTCTGTAAAACTATGCTCTAAACAAGACAATTATGACATGCAAACCAAATTTTAATTAATTGAGAGAAAATGTCATTGAGAGAAACACTGTCAACTCCTTGTTCATTTAATTCAAAATATTCATTGTCCATTAAGAAAGAGAAAATGAAAGAATATTTTATTTTATTGCCCTTGAACAAAAAAAGCTATATGCACTTTTGCCCAACATTTAAAGGTCATTTTTAAAAAACACCCATGTAAAATGGCTCAAAAAGGGCCAAAAGGGCATTAATTTTTTGCCTTTCAGTAATTGCCTTTGGAAATAAATACTAAAAGACAATACCTCATGAGTTTCATGTTTTGGCTTATTATAGAATTTGAAGATTTTGATCTCATCCACTTGATTGATCCAGTTGTTACTGCATGCAATTCTCATCATTAAAATCAAAATTGAAGCCACCCTTTTTTCACATGGTTCTGTCTATTTAGGGTTTAGGGTTTATTCTAGAAAAAAGATAAAGGATTAATCACATGCAGCAAATGATTTTTTTTTTTCTAGGCTTTGAAAGAATAAGTATACATGTAGCACCCAACAACTAGATGCATTAAACCACAATGCAATGGATGCAAATGGATTTCTTGTCTTTGGTCTAGTAAAGTTCAACAGGCAAAAGTAATTTTCACATTGGCAAAAGAGAGGGACTCCAAGATTAAAATCAGGACAAGGAAATCAATTTGTATATTGTAAATGCCTCCAGCTGAGCCCACAAATGTGTATATATAATCAAAAGAGTTCCCTTGTTGTGCATAAGCTGTTCCAAAATCATTCAATATGTGATATTTCAATACGTATGGTATTACCCATGTTGAGGCACCAAGCGCCAGAAATTTGAATCGCGGCATCACATTGGTCGGAGCCCAGAAAGGATTGAATTTATGGACGGAGCTCAATCTCTTGAGCACTCTGTTTGAACGCTCGACTTGCAAATCTTCGATAGAGCAGCTAGGCAGAATTGCGGTCGAGCTCCCAACGCAAGATCTTTCGTGCAATCTCTCGCTGCTCCTAAATCTCGATCTGTTCTTCAAGGTTTGGAGGATTTTCTAGCGGTGCCATAGGCCGGAGGACGAAACCACTAGCTGTGGAGAAGCCGGAAACCTCTAGAAACTAAACCCGAGACCCAGATCGATCGATCGGATAGCACATTGCTGTGACAGCGCTGTGAGCTGCTACCCTAGTGCTCCCAGCCTGGCCACGTTGAAAGAAGCGCCATGGCCGAGCAGCCCCGCCATGGCCGCTTCGCTAACCTCGTCTATTATGACGTGGCATGCAATCCTTTGTATTTCCGGCCACGTCGCCCCACATCGGACCTCACCGATCAAACTACTGATGGGACACCTCTCTGGAAGTATATGATTTGTTTCACCACAGAGAGCCAGGCTAGGTGGCCCCCGATCAGTACAATCCATACGCAACTTTCAAGTCCGGAAAAAACGTGAGATTTTTGTAGAGATCGATCGCATGCCACTGTGTGACTATAAATTCAAACAGCCCGAGGTTCAGCACCACAACAACATGGCAGCTTCATTCTTGTTCCTCACTATCCTAAGCTTTCAGCTACTTCTGATATCTGCAGGTTGATCTCCAAGTTTTGATTCTTTCTTTCAGGACTGACTTCTTGAATGCCTTGTCAAGATGATTTTGCAGCCAGCGGCCATCGTCTCCAGGTTTGTAGTGATGCTGTTGTCACTCTGGACGAATGCTCCAATTGCTGTACGCTTGAGCCTGGATGCATATATCTCGAGCCTGGAACTGGCAGTCCAGTTTGTCTTGGTGGCACCTCCCCTGCTCGTGCTTGCCTCCCAATTTGTCTTCCACCAAAAATCAAAGTCTGCCCATCCCGATGGACTAACCGAATTCCAATTTCTGTGCTCCCACCGGGTAAGGAGCCTTCGAATGGCTGTCATCTCTACAATTTAAAGACTGGTGCACCACTGCCAAATGGTGATGACAACTCCTGCTTGAAGGATGCCGTGGAGATTTGTGGAGGCACTGTCCATCCTTGGAAGCCAGGCAGCTGCGCTACTTGTTGCACCATTCCTCAAGGTTGCATGGACTTGGGGCATGGCAAATCAGTATGCGTCTCAGGACCTGGTAAAGCCTGCACGCTCGAATGTGGGTTTGCTTCCTATGTCTGCCCAGGTCCAAAAAGTGTTGCGCTCGACTTCAACTCTTGCCACACTTGCAAGAAGCCACTCAGGGAAGGTTGCAAGCTCTACAACCGTCAGGGGCACCAGCTGTGCGTCAAGGAGGATGATCTACTCCAGCTTGCCTAGAAGATGATGCTGTATTTATATAAAATAAACAGCTCTGGGCATCGTTGTTTAAATAATGGGTACTTGAAATGTATATATATATTATATATATAAAGTTTGACAACGCAACTTGTTGTCTGCAATCTCTTTGTAGTCTTACACTTTCAAAGAAGTTCCAAACAAACCATAATGTTTACTTTCCCAATATTCTATGTTATAGATCTCAATCATACATCTCAATGCATTGGTGTTCAGCTCATCAGCTTCCTCTGAGTTGAAACAACATAAGGCTCGCTCTTACATCCATAAGTGCTAATTTGCAGCCTAAGAAAATTCCTAGCTTAAGAAAAAGCAAAGCAAAAGGCTAGATCCAACGAATCTTTGTCCTTTTTACCCTCCCATTAATGCGCTAATTACATATTAATTCTAAGCATCCATGGTGAGCTCTATAGCAACTTGCTTCTCCCACAGCCAGTCTCTAAACAAGTTCCCCTCGCACATAAATCTCCCCATAGAGATGAAAGGCTCAAACGGCGAGTCTAGAGCCACCAGCGTCCTGTTCACTGCATGGGTCACCTCCTTGCTCTTGTCCGACGCGTAGCCACACACGATGATCACTCGCTCCGGCCTCTCGAATCCCCGCGCGAGCTTCCGCCTGGACACGATCAATCCACTGGTGAGCGCCACCATCGCAGTCCCGGAGCTCATATCCTGGAGCCAGATAAACCACGCTCCCTGCCAGTCCTCCCAGATCCCTCTCGGGTAGAGCTCTGTGGAGGAGACACCCTCCCACACGTAGAAGGCCTCGCGAGCGTAGCCAAAGCAGTGGAGATGGTTGACGAGAGCATCCGCCAGCCATCGCCCCCAGCGAGGAGGCTTGTCCATCCTCAGCTTGCGGAAAAACTCCCTCGAGTAGCTCTTGAGCTCCTTGATCGCGCGGAGGCCTTGCAGGATCTCGTTCAGGAACTCGTCCACACCGGGATGATCATCTCCTCCTCCTCTTCCTGCTGCTGCTGCTGCTGGTTTCGAGGACGACTTCATCATCTCTCTCACTGCTCTCGAGTCCGCCACCTTGACGCTGCTCGTGTAGTGGCCCAGGAGGATCGTGTACGTTTGTAGCGTCGGCTCCACGCCTCTCTCCGGCATGACTTTGGTGAGGATGAACTTAGCCGGTTCCACTTCTCGGGCCTTGAGGTAGCCATCGATGAGCGCGTTGCACATCTCGATGCTTGGACCGGCCTTCGTCTTGCAGGCTTTGTTGAACCATCGCCGGGCTTGCAGCATAGCTCCGGCTCTCGCCCACGAACTTATGAGCGTGCAGTACGTGAATCGATCTGGAGCGAGGCCGGCCTTTCGTATATCACCCAGGATGTTCTGCGCATGGCCAGGGAAGCCGCTGGAACCGTAACTCAGTATCACGTTGTTGTAGACGATCAAGTTTGGCTCTAGGCCGGAGCGGAGGTAGTCCGCGTAGAGCTCTGCCGCTGCTTTCGAGTCTCGAGCCTTGGCGTACATGTGGATGAGGATGGCGTACGTTGCAGAGGAGAATGGAATCCCCCAGGCTTTCATCTGGTTGGCAGCTTCCCTGGCGTTTGCGAAGTCCCGCTGCTTGCAGAAGTTGTGGATCATTGTGTTGAACGTCTGCGCGTCGGCATTGCGGGGGGAGGCTCTCAAGTCGAGGAAGATTCGCTGGAGCTCCTTCCGGGAGCCGAACTTGCCGCACCAGTCGATGAGGAGGCCGAAGGTGCAATTGTCCGGGTGACAGCCAAAGTATGGCATCTTCCTGTAGAGGTCGAGAGCTTCCTGGATCCGGTTCACTCTTGTGTAGCAGCGGATCATGTTGTTCACTGCAAACGTGTCAAGGCGAAGCCCGAGCTCCTGGATCTCAACAAAAAGTGCCTCGGCCATGAGATAGTTCCCGTCATCTCCCAAGATCATGATCATCGTCGAGTAGTTTACCAAGTCGTGCTTGAAGCCTGGGATCGTCTTGGCCCACGTAAAGAGCTTGAGCGAGAGAGATGCGTCGTGCTTGATCTTCTTGAGAACCACGCAGACCTGGTGGGGGTGCGTTATCCCACGCTTGAGCCTGTCCAGCTTCTCAACCATCTCGGAGCTCCAGCTCGCTCCTCCTTCCTTCACAGTCTCGTACAAGGCATCGAAGACTAGCGCTCCTTTGCCTGGAACTAAACCCGGCAGCGCCACCTTACTGCTCGGCACCATATAGTTCCCCGGCAGAGCGATCGTTCCCTCTTTGCCTTCTTCTGGCAAGCTCCACACTGGAAACGAGTTCCATGACGAGGAAACATTCGTCGCCCGGTTGTCCATTGTTACTGACAGAGGGCGACCAATGACGAACTTGTCGCGACCACAAAGCACCGGAGGATCATCACCAGTGTCGGTCGCGGGAGGAAGTGTCTCGTAGACCAGAAACTTGTCCCCGACTGCATGGACATTCCACTGCTTCTGTCCCCTGTGAAGATGGAGCTCGCGCCTGTATTGCTTGTGACCCAGAATCGGACCCACGTAGTTGCCTTCCTGCTCCTCGGCTGTGTAAGGCTTCTTCCCGAGCTGGTGTTGGAGTGCTACCCACTGCCCACTGATTCTATCCAAGCCTGCTTGAGGGTCTGCGCGAACAAAGCGTTCCTGCTCTCGACTTAGTCGCGGACGAGGCGGCGGCCTCAGCTTCCTACCATACTTCGTCTTCACGTAGAGATCGTCGTCACGGCACAGGTCTCTGATCGCAGCAATCTGTTCCTTCGTCCAGTAGAAGCGAGGAAGGGGCTGAAACTTGGCACCCATCTCTGTTGCTAGCTAGCTAAACCCCGAAAACCTTACCTTTATGAGAAAGCTCATCTTTCGATTAAAGAATGTTCCTTCTCTGCTAGAAAATACAAAGGTTCAGAATCCGGACATGCAAGAGAAAGTACTTACAAGGAATCTATAGGCAAGCGTTGGCCTGTAGTCGCAAGAGCCGCGATTCAGCAGCAGCACCAGCAGCTTGAGCCGGAGTTAAATCTCGGAAAGTATCAGGAGTAGAACAAGTGGGGGTGTTCTCTTTCGGTTCGTCCCAAGCTAGTAAGCTGTTCATGTCATTTGCTGAAAGAGGCTGCTCTTTTTGTTTCATTGGAAGGAGGTTCGTCTTCTGCTGGTTCATTTTGTAGATGTTCTCCTCCACAGTGTTACGTATCTGGAAATGTCGTCAGTAATTGGAAAACAGAAGAAACGTACGTAACTTACAATGAATCTATGTACAAGTGTCTTTAGACGTTGGCCAATCCGGTGGACTCGATTGATAGCCTGAGCTTCTACTGCCGGATTGAGCAAAGGCTCCACCAAAATAACGTGTTGGGCCTCTATTAAGTTCAGGCCATTGGCACCATGTTGTATGGGCAGTAACATGACTTGGACGTTCTCCTTCTTAAATTCCAGGATGGAAGAACCCATTTGCCTGTGAAAAACACAAAACGAGCAAATGAGTAAAAGTAAAACAGATTATCGATGTTACCTGCGCTGCTTTAATCGAACCCAGCTGAGCTTGTTGCTCTTCAGTGCGTGTTCTAACAAGTCCAGCACTTCTTGCCACGTCGAGAACACAAGAATTTTCACAAACGGATCGTCTTCTTTCAGACTAAGAATTCTCCTGACGACAGCTTCAATCTTCAAATTGCAAAAAAATTAAAATAAACAGCAGACGACAAAGCCAGATTACCTTTGTTCCGTACGACCCTGCCACGGTTATAGATTTTTCTTCGTCCTCTTCTTCTTCCTGGAGGTTTTCCGCAATTTTTGAAGAAGTCCCTTCAGCATTGGCATAAGCAATATTAGAGACATAAGTCTGTTGTCTGCACGTTGGACATGCAATGCGCTTGAAATCAGCACCGTTCGCTGGTGCTTTCTGGCGGTTCACAATAAGATTCAAACCTGCGAAATAAAACGAAGATTTGCTCAGGAAACCAACAAGGTAAGACACCGAAAACTTACACTTGCCACAAAGCAAATGGCCGCACGGAAGGACCATTGCTCCAGATTCTATGCCATCGTGGCAAACTGGGCAAATTTCTCCTTCCAAACTGTTATGCCCCTCGTCCTTCTTATTCCTTAGACCCTGCAATCCGGAAATGAGAGGAAGCTGCGAATAAAAGAAAACTTAAGCCTAATACCTTCAAGTATCTGAGCTGCCTCTTCACACGAGATAGATTCTCAACAGCAACAAATTTTTCGTTGGTAAGCTCCGCGTTTCTAATTGCAATCTCGTAGCCTTCATCACCAAAAGGATTGCCGTCTGCAGCCTTGGCACCTTGCAAACATAGCCTTGTTGTCGACATGCTCAGCTCGTCCAATGCAGTTAGAACTAATTGTTGTGCTGTTGTCAAGCGTCTCGCCGCTGCATATTCGCTACGCAATGCCTGAATTGACACGGTTTGTCAAACAGACGTACAAATAAGCACAGGAGTGTTTACTTCAAGATACTCGAGATGCTTCTTTGCGGCTTCTATCTCATCCTCCTCAAGGTTCGTTTCCGCTTTCATGTATGCAAGCAAAATCTTTAAAACCATTTCCGTTTCAGAACATCTGTGCGTAACCTGTGAAAAGAAATATTTAAGCTCGAAGCAAAGAAAAACAAAAGAAAAAAGTTAGAAAAACAAAAAGAAGTTGCCTTACCGCAGCTACTGCTGCTCCTTTTCTCCTGCCTGTGTTCGTCTCAGTTTCCTTGTTTCCCTTAACCAGTGAACGTACTTGAGAAACAAAGGCGTCTTCTGCAGTGACAATGCCATCTAATTCAGCTGCTCGGGACGTCAAGTAAAATAGCCTATTTGCATATTTCTGTTTATCCACACTGACAATGTCAGAAACCACACAAGAAAGAACTAGATTGTACCTGAAACATGAGATCAATCGCACAATGAACACAAGTTATCCCAGTGTGTCTAGGCTGGCACTGGGAACATTGTCCAGCGCGCTGCACATAATCGGGATTCGGATTCTGCATCCCGCCATCCACTTCAAGCAAGCGACTCAGGACGTGGTCACGAGTCTCATGGATAGCATCCAACTCCTGGCTTAGTAAGAACTTGAGGCCGTTGAGGTCGTGGTATCTACATGCTCACTAGATTACCTCCCGAGAAAGATAAGGAAAACATAC